GAAGCTCACACCAAGATTCATTGGTCCTTACCAGATCCTTCGTTGTGTAGGTCCGGTGACTTATCAATTGGCGTTACCTCTGGTTCTGTCCAACCTGCATGACGTGTTTCATGTTTCACAGTTGAGGAAGTACATCAGAGACCCGAGTCACGTGGTAGAGATGGATGAGGTGCAAGTTAGAGAGAACTTGACCTATGAGAAGAGACCGGTAGCTGTGGTTGATCACAAGTTGAAGGAGCTTCATGGCAATTCCATTAGCTTGGTGAAGATTCTTTGGGATGCAGCTACTGGTGAGGCAACCTGGGAAGTAGAGAGCCAGTTCAAGGAACAGTATCCATTCCTCTTTTCAGGTAAGCCTATTTTCGGGGATGAAAATTCTTATTTGTTGGGGGGTATTGTAACGTAACAAGTTGTTTTAGAAAGCTCAATATAGGTGATTTAGTAGCCCAGAATGGGCTGTTCCAAGCTATTAAATTGACTTGTAAAGCGTAGTTGAGAACGGGCCATTCAGGAGGGAGAACGGGCCGTTCTGGAGGGGAGTACAGGCCGTTCTGGATGGAGAACGGGCCGTTCTGGATGAGTTCTAGAATGGTCCATTCTAATTTTAGAACGGGCCGTTCTGCATGTGGTTTTTGCACATGACGAAGGGATACAGAATGGGCCGTTCCAGATTCGATACAGGCCGTTCTGGCCACTCCAGAACGTCTATAAATAGGGGGTATGGGCCGTGAGGAGAATGTGAGTTTTTAGAGAATTTTTAGAGAGGAGGTCTCTGGGTCTGTGAGCTCCTTTCTCTACTAAATTTCTCTGTATGATTCCTTTTCTCCTCTAGACCACTAATGCCTTCTGTCTTTTTTTGAAATTCAGATTAGAAAGCTTACTTTGGGAGGATTGAAGTTCCGGGTTGAGCTTTGGAAGGGAATTCTATTTCGTCATAGTTGTTGGCTATTTTGAGCCAATCTTCAGGTGAGGGAGGCTAGAATGTTTGTTGTTTAGGTTGCATGTGAGTTTAGAAACTCAATTGATGCATGAATGTTGAGAATCCATAGATGGATTGAAGAAAATCTCAATTTTTGCGGTTTTGAGAAAAACGAAGATTTTGATGCATAGGTTGGATGCATGTGAGATTTAAGTTTATTTTGAGTTGTATGGATCCTATGCATTGTGTTTTGTGTTTGCATGTGGCTGGATGTGTTGTTTAGATGAGAGTTTTGAAACTCTCTGACTGGGATTAGGCTGGGAACAGGTTGAGCGCGTCAGACATGGAAGAGCTTAGAGCTCTTGGGTTGGTATTAGGCCAGGCGTGAGCTGACTGCGCCGAGCGTGATTATAATTATAAATAATTTATTTAAATTGATGCTTATGCATGTTTAAAGTTGAAGTTTTAGATCATGTATGTATGATATATGATGTATGGTGAGGTATGATTCATATGTATGCTTGTGATGATACGTATGAATGGTTGAATATGAGATGACATGTGTATATGTTCATATGGGTATGTTTATTGATCATAATGGTGGTAGATTATGTATGATGTATGATGCATTATTGCATGTGATGTCTTATGACATGTGTATGATTGTTGATCATGATGGTGGGCAGACCATGTATGATGTATGATGCATGATTGCATGTGATGCCTTATGGCATGAGTCTAGCCTAGGACTTGAGGATAGGAAAAATATTTTCGAACTGGAAGAGCTAACATAGAGTCTCTTGAGAGTGGTGCTTGGATAGGCCATTGATATATGAGAGAGGTGCTTAGGGACGCCACTAGATTTGGGAGAGTGGTGCTCAGATAGGCCACTGGGTTGGGTGAGTCTCCTCTAAGTCCTTAGCTAGTGTTGGAGCGGGGTATGAGGTCGAGGGTTATTCCCTTAACCAAGTACTCGGGAAGGTGCGTGGATCCTTGCGGATAGTTAGTGGGCGAACTCCACAATTGACTTGGTTATGCATACCAAGGTCGTGGTAAGCCCGTACTCAACTTTGCTATAGCTGACAGTGGGTCTGGACTTCCAATTGTGTAAGTGACATCATCCGAGTAAACCCGAGTGAGGATTATATCCTGTTTAGCTGTGACCGAGCGGGCGCATTGGGCGTGAAAACGGTTGGGGTGGTTTCGGTAGGATGGAATGTTTCTTATACAACTCTATTGTTATGGAGATCTCCTAGGTGTATGCGTGACGACGCATTAGATGATTGATATGCATTGATATCTGTCATGAGTTGCATGTATTGCATGATTGTCATGATGATGAAGCATTTGGTGTTTGACTTCATGGTTGATGAATGGATGATTGATTTGGATTCATGTGTAGTATAGGTTTTAATTTGTGCTTGTATGATTTATTTTTGAACTCTAGCTTACCCTTCTGGTTCCATGTGGTGGGACTGCAATGATCATGCTTGGTATGGAAGCAGGTCAGGGATAGCTTGGAGTAGAGGTGATCGCTGCGAGACGGGGAGTTTGAGGCTCGTGTTAGAGTTATCATTTTGGGTAATGATTTTTGTCTGTGCTTGACCTGCACTAGGAAATATTTTGGGATGACTGTACATATATGGTGTTTTATTTTGTATACAGAGACTTAATTATTTTGATCCTTATATCTATGCCTGTATGATGTGTTATCTAGTTTTATATTCTCTTAGTTAACTAGTTGTAGTGCGATTCCACTAAGTGTAGAGACTATGACTGGTCGTTACAGATTTAATATTTATATTATTATTGTTTATAATGTTAACTTCGTCATAAGGTACCGATTAAGGGCATTGTAGGGGTTCTTAATACCTTCCCTACACGTAACCGACCCCCGAACCCAATTTTGGTTATCAAGGCCATTATTGGTACACGTAACTGACCCCCGAACCCAATTCTAGTTATTACGGCCCTTATTGGACTTTTAAAAACCTTTTCTTTTTCCAATGTTTTGAGTAAAACATTGGTGGCAACTCCATGAACCTATTTTCAAAACCATTAACTAGGGATTAGTCTGGTGTCCGGGCATTCCTTAATTGATGAGATCTTGGAAAGGATGTCTAAACCATAGGTCGTGAGATCAAAAATTTTCGAGTTGCGACAGATGGCGACTCCACTGGGGACGTTTAAAGAGGGTCAGGCCCATTTAATTGATGAAGTTAATAAAATAAAAATAATATTTTAAATATTTTTCCCCTTTACTTTGTTTGTTTTATTTGTTTAGCTTTATATCTGTTTTCCTGTTTAAATTTTGCATCTGTTTGAATAAAAATTGTACACAAACCTTTGCACACAACAGTTCCCCCTACACCCGGGGGCATGAGGGTATTAAACACAGGGGGTGGTTGACGTACGATAACCGACCCTAGTTTGGCCTTGGAGCCTACGAGCCTTGTCAAAAATCACACTCAAGGTGATAACTGGTTACTCTATCCTGAAATACTGCGACAGACCTTAGAGTTTGCCAGGTGATGGCGACAGAGATACTGGGTCCCTATAATGGAGGCACCTTGGGGGCATTAAAACCAGTGAGATTAGAATCGTCCTATATAATGCACTTTTCTTACAGGGACCACAGACCAAGGATTTGAACGTTACTGTCCGCTAGTGTACATTTGTTTGAGCATATGTGTGTTGCATTTGTTGTGTTCTCTTTTTGTTCATTTCAAATAGAGAGGAATTATAGAGAATTAAACAGATATCAATAAAAAAAAAAACTAACACTCTTCTGTATACCCTAGCTCTAAAGCATCATATAGGATAGTTTGTTTCAATAAAAAAAAAAGAACAAAAAAACTATATAGCAAAAATCATGCATAATAACCTATAGTGTTTAATATTCCTCAAAATGAAGCAAATTACTTAATTACACCAACAAGATTATCAAATTATTTATTTTCATTGGTTACATTAACATGTGAATTAAATACTCATTAATTGAGATTGAAAAGTTTCATCGTTTGTTCAAAAGGGAAGCTGAAGTAAAAAATCCATTACTTGAGCAAAAGATTTTCCATAAGCATTTACAATTTCCTTGAGCAATTCATTGTCTGCATTTTCAGAACGGGCCGTTCCTAGTTAGGGTTTCAAACCAATTTTTTGAATTGGGAATGGGTCATTTTGATTTCGAAACGGGCCATTACCAACTGCCTTTTCGCATACAAATTTTTGGTCCAAATTGACCTGTTTTAGATTTGGAATCAATCATTTTCTCCTAGGGTTTCTAGGCCTTTTTGTTCACCTGGAACGGCCCACTTCGGGCTCCTAATTCTATCTTTTTGAGCTTCTAGGCCTTTTGATGTTATTCTTGCTTGTTTTGATGTCAAGTTGGGCCTTCCAAAGATTGTTTATCCTATTCTAGTAGTCTTTTGTCTTGTTTTGGTATCCTAAACAAAATTGGGTGACTATAGTTGCCCTTCTTTACTTATCCTTTGGGTGGCTATGTGTTTCCTTTCCAAAGGTAAGTAAAGATGTAGATGTTTCATCTAGGTCTTCTCTTTAATCCTCTATGCAAGTGCTTCCATATTGTTACTTTTAGAAAGATGGGTTTGCCCGTATCCTTGTTCCTTACAATAGTTGGATGTTAGGTTGCGTGCTCCATTAGAGAACAAGGATGGAAAAATGTACCACCTGAACTGCTGGCTTTGTGTAAGTGCTCCATGCAATTTTTTTTATCGCTATTCTTGTGATGGTGTGGTTGAAGTCCTATTTAAGCTTTATTGGGGAGTGAGTATGTTCTGAGCTTAGCCTCTCCAGGCTAGACTGATATTTAAGGCTTCAATCGTCCTTTTAGTGTTCCTTGGCATAGCCTCTCCAAGCTATACTGGTTTTGAGGGTCTAGCCAACCTTTTCCGAGTCGTGATGAGTACTGTCTCTCTAAACTTCCCCTTTGAGGGATGTGAGTGTTCCTTGGCACAACCTCTCCAAGTTGTACTGGTTTTTAGGGTCTAGCCAACCTTTTTCGATCTTTAATGAGTATTCTTTGCTAGCCTCTCCAGGCTTGAGGTGTATAGATGACCACATCCTTTGTGATGGTGGACGCAGGAATCTTTTGTAGGATTGTGCTCTGGTGATCTTGGTTTTTTTCTTTTCTTTGAGGAACTCGATGGCGTCCTCAAATTGGAGTTATTTGTAGAGTGCCCTTGGGGATGATGGGCAAGGGATTCTTGGCGTGCCCTTGTTTTAGGCTGAAATTAGCAGGGTGTTGGTGATGCCTCTACTTGTGTAAGTATTGTTATACCTCTCCAACCGTCTTTATTGGGGATGGAGGGATGGCAAGGACTTTGGTGTTGTTCCTGCCACGTGAGTATTATGATGCCTATCCAAGCATTTTCACTAGGGAATGGATGGATGGTAGGGATTTTGATGTTTTCCCTGCCGTATGAGTATTGTGATGCCTCTCTAGGCATCTACCGTGGTGGTTTCTTCTGATTGATTGATTGGCAAAAACCTTGTGTTGTTCCTGTGATTGATTGGCAAAAATCTTTTCATAGTCATCTTTGGTAAGTGACCAATCAAATATCTCCAAATTTTGCTTCATTCTCTCCTTGTTGTAGCTCTTAACTGCAAAAGTAACTCCTATCTCATACAACCATCGAAGAGATACCTGGTACACTAGAAGGAATTTTGTTAGTGTTGGTTCAATATATACATAGAAATTTGTTAATGATATACAACACATACATGTTATGTCATATAGAATCCATTTGGATATAGACTTGAAGCATTTTTTTAGAGTTTTTCTAGTAAAAAAACAAATTAAGTAAAAAAAATATTAAAAATCCTTATATACTCATATCTAAACATGCTTATAGTCAAACTTTTGATTTTATTTATTAACTAATTAACGTTTATCAACATGCACCCCAATTATTATACATTTATAAATATCTTAACTCACCTAAATTTTTATCGATAAAATAATATTTATAAATATCATATGGATAATGAGTAATCCAAGTATTTCCTTAACTACTTTTTCCTTTGTTATTATGTACAATCACACAATTTCACTTCTCAACAATAAATTATTTAGCTTTAGACCTTACAGTGTTAAATATTCCTCAAAATGAAACAAATTACTTGATTACACCAACAAGATTATCAAATTAAATACTCATTAATTTTTGAGATTGAAAAGTTTCATCGTTTGTTGAAAAGGGAAGCTGAAGGAAAAAAATCCATTACCTGAGCAAAAGATTTTCCATGAGCCTCTGCAATTTCCTTGAGCAATTCATTGTCTACAACGTTATTGGAACCCCACATAGACCCCGGTGCTCCCAAAGGAGAGTATGCAGTTACGATTATACCTTTTTCTTGACAATATGCTCTCAACTTCTTTTGTTGCCAAGTAAGATTCATCTCTACCTGTTTGATGATATAAATTAACCAAAAGTTGAATCATCAATTTAAATGTTCTAAATTGAAAAATAGTAAGATATCCAATATGAGTATATATGGTTAATTTACTTGATTGACTGAGGGAGGAATAGAAGCAAAAGAGAGCAAATCTTCAAGTTTTTTGCAACTAAAATTGCTAACTCCAATACATTTTGTAAGGCCTAACTTCTGACATTCCTCCATTGCTTTCCAGACACCCTTTAAGTCAAATGATGTTAGGGCTTCTTCAGGAAAAGGAATTTTCCAATTTCCAGACTTCACAGCAATGGGCCAGTGGATCAAATAAAGATCCAAATATTCCAACTTTAGAGACCTGCATTAATTTTTGGCCCCATAAAGATAAGTTGTTCGAATATATTATTCAAATGCATGTACTTGTCAATACGCAAAAAGAAATGATGACCAAAATAAGAAAATTCATTACTACCAATAAATAATAGTAAAAAGTTAAAAAATATAGTGGCCACAAAGGGCTTGCATCTCAGTCGAGTAAAAGAATGTTTTGCGCTGAATGATCTAGGCAATTATCCACACGACTCTAGTGGCAGGTAGTTCTTTTATCAATATGAATCATTTACAGGTGTCTTAATTTTCCTAGGCATCTCTTTCGTAAAATATTTTTCTTCCAAAACAAATCTAATACAAAAAATAATACTAATATATATATATATGGTTGAAGTCCTATTTAA